TACACACACACACACACACACACACACACATTTTCCTCATAATTATGATTTTTTTTTTTACTGTTATGTTCTTTAATGGTATTTAGGATGTTTTTATGTCCAGTAAATGGCTTAGTAAAAGTAAAAGCACATCATTCATGAAGCTCAAACTCTGCAGGATGCTGAACTCGCTGAGTTTTAATATTTGACAATATTTGTTCAAATCAACTAACTATAATCACTCATTATTTGAGTGGTAATAGTGATGCTTAACTTAATGTAAATGAAATTTAAAGTGTAGGCCTACATGAGCTCTTGTGTGTGTAAAGTGATGTGGAAGCAGATGTAAAGAGTGAATATGAAGTATACTTGGTTTAGTTTATTGATGACTGTGTGGAGTAAAAGGCAGTGTGTGTGTGTGTGTATGTGTGTTTGTGCTCAGGAGGGGGTGGACCTCTCTCCGTCCCATCTGTTTGGGGTTCATCTTTGTCCTCATAATTAATGAAAGCGGAGGGGGCTTCCTGACACACGCACAGACACACACACACACACACACACACACACACACACAATCAACACCCTCAGCTTTTCACTAGCAGGTTTTGTTTTAGCTGAATTGCTCCCTCTCTCTCTCTCTCTTTCTTCTCCTTTGTTGTTTTCATTCACTTTTTTGTCTTTGCTGATTAATTTGCCCTCACCCTTTCCTCTCCTCTCTCTCTCTCTCTCTCTCTCTCTCTCTCTCTCTATCTGTTTTCCCCGTATCTCCTCCCTCTCGGCTCGGGGCAGAGATTGGATGTTGGGATAGGCTTTGCCTGCCCTCAGGCCTGAAAAGAGGATTGTCTCGCTGAATGTTTGGAAACAGATCTGTTCCAGTAACCTGTAAAAAGAGTAGCCTTTGACAACACACACATGCACTTGTGTTTCTATCAGTTTGTTCTCTCGGTCTGATAGCAAAAACTGTAGCAGTGTCATATCTGACCTCATTTTGGATTCCGGAAAGTTTAGGTTATTCTCGGATGTTGTGATGTTTTGAAGGAAACAGAATGTTCAAATATCTAAACCAACAGTATGTTCATATATTTTTAAACCTCTAACCATAGGAATTAAATCTTTTACAATTAAATTTCACCATTTTTAATGATTCTTCAAATTATACAGCCTTTTAAGAAGAGGTGTGTTAACTTATTACTATCTAAACTATCGGACGTTGCACTAAAATAACACACAGAACGCCTTATTTACTGCATAGCAACGCCTTGGCAACCATCCACAACATGAGGATTATTCCAAAAGTCTTCCTCAGATAATATTGAAATCTAGTTGTACTGTAGTTATCTGGCACGCTCAAATATAATGTGCTAACATACACAACCCATTGCATCACAGAGGATTATTCCAAAAGTCACTGTTTTCCTCAGATAATATTGAAATCTAGTTGTACTGTAGTTATCTGGCACGCTCAAATATAATGTGCTAACATACACAACCATTCAAAAGTTTGGGGTTAGTACGATTTTAAAAAAAAGAAACTAATACTTTTTTCAGCAAGGATACGTTAAGTGTTAACTTACTCGAAAATTGATTGTAAAGACATTTATAGTGTAACAAATGATTTCTATTTCAAATAAATGCTGCTTTTACCTTTGTATTCATCAAAGAATTCTAAAAAGAAAATGTATCATGCTTTCCACAAAAAATAGATGCAGCATAAACTGTTGTCAGCATTTATAATCAGAAATGTGTCTTAAGCAGCAAATCAGCATATTAGAATGATTTCTGAAGGATCATGTGACACTGAAGACTGGAGTAATGATGCTGAAAATTTAGCTTTGCATCAAAGGAATAAATTACATTTTAAAATATGTTCAAATAAAAAACAGTTACTTTACATAGTAATAATATTTAACAATATTACTGTTTTTATTTTATTATTTTATTTTATTTTTGATCAGATAAATCTAACATTGGTGAGCATAAGAGACATATATAAAAGTAAAAAAATCCTACCAACCCCAAACTTTTCAGCAGTAGTGTAAAGAAAATGTAACTACTAGATACATTGACAGTAATGTTAACCTACTTATCGTCCATCAAAAAAAAAAAAAAAACGCAGAGGATTTCACATTAAAAATCACTTTAAAAGACTGTAAAGATAACCAGCGCTTTACAGAATCCTGTGAAAAATGAGGTTAAATGATGGTGGTGCACGAGTGACACTGTTTCATTGTGAGACTGACATTTTATATCATGTTTTTGTGTCTGTTTGGTATTTTTGGTGCACAGGTTGGGACGAGGTTTGGAATCAAAAGGTGACTATGAGTGTAGAGTTGAAATCATAGTACTAAACCATAGACACCGACAAGATCACCATCATAGAGTCTTGCTGGAGCGCACTAATAGTTTGCTACTGTATGCTAGCAGCACATATGAATCTAGCTGGGTCATTTAGATCAATGGCAGTGCATAACTGCATGGCATGGGGTGGCTAGAGATGGTTATAGAATTAGGATGGCGATAGTCTGGTCTAGTGGGGTTAAATGAAATTCTGCTGATTTCTGTTGATTGCTTCTTAATGTTGAATTGTATAAACAATTTAGACCCTCCAGATTTTCAGGATTATGATCATGTATGGTTCACTAGTTAAAGGCACAATATGTAATTTTCGCCGCTAGAGGGCGCGTTTTCAAAATAAACAAAGAGACAAAGGCGTAGTTTGATGACGCGGTCACTGAGTGTGGAATCATGGGAGTTGTAGTCTTCATCCCCACAGCCGATGCAATCCGACGGGACTCGGGCAGAAATCATGTTCATGGATGAGCTAATGATTTATTAACATAGTAGAATACAAATATTATTTTAATACATTTATTTGAAAAAGATATTTAAAAAAAAAAGCACAAATTAAAGCTTTAAGCATAAATCATAAAGTTTTCTTTCAGTTTTTCTTGTATCTCTCTCACATGACTTGCAGTGGTCAGATGATTCCACGCTGGCCTGAAACGTGGTGGGAATTTTATATAATTCCTCTGGAAATATTTCAGAGGATTTGTCTGTTGGACCTTTCATTTCCTGCCAGATTCTGCCAGACTTTCCTTTTTTTGTGTACAACATTTTGTTGAAATATCAGCTGCATTAAGTGATGTTTTATGGCATTAATCAATAAAGAAATTAAATTGAATATAAAGCAAATATAGTAACTTACATTTTCATGGTAAGGATTGCTTAAAGAAAACATTGACTGAGATTAAACCAATCTGCTAGATCAGTCATTTTCTACAGGTTAAGGTCCTGACTAACTGCTTATTTTTTCCTATAATTCCTATAATGTGCATGTTAGAAGTGCTAACATCAGTAAATCTTTGGGAAACACTGACTGGCCTGTTTGTGCTGTTTGTGAGAGTGCATTTTGAGAATATTTATAAAATACTATCTTTGTCTCTCAGATTCCATAAGTACATTTCTGCTCAGTCATTATTCCCTCTCAGGATTCAAAGAAGCTTTATTCACATGCTAAACAAATCTCTCTCTCTCGTTCTCTCTCAGATTGACCCTAAGGTGGCCTTCCCACGTAGAGCTCAGCCGAAGGTGAGTGCTAAGTCTCCGTTCAGGTTAACATCACGCAGGTTCTTTTCTGAAACCTAGTGAGCGTTTTAAAGCATCATCTGTGTTTTCTCGATGTGACAGCAGAATTCCGAAGATCCTTCTTTGTGACTATATTGCATAGAAGTCGCTTGAAAACCTTTAGAACAATAAGTAAAAACAATAAGTTGCACTGCTCACAAACATTACCTCTAAAATGTTTATAATAGGGCTTTCGGTCGATTAAACATTTTAATCTAATTAATTACAGGGTGATGCGAAAAGCGAAAATACCCCCCCAAAATCCTTTAAAGCTATTATTGTGTTAAATGTTTAAATGTCTAACATAAAGTATGGAACATAAAAGAAGATAATTTGAGAAACATCGTAGTATTTTTTGTTCATCGCTAAACACCGCTGTGTTGCTCGGAGACGCGCAACAGTTCTGCTGTGGCTTTATAGGTAATATTTTCATCGTCAAAATTGAACAAAACACACAATATTGTGTTTAGAATATAACACAATATTAACTTCTTATTTACTGAACTGTTGTATCAAATCACATCTGCACTCGTGCAAATCAGGACAAAAGCGGCAAAACGCTTATCATATAAATATGAGACAAAAAGAAGTGAGAGATATGAGACATACAGGGGCATCCCCCCCCTAAAAGTTTGTGGTCGGTAAGATTTTTAAATGTTTTTCAAAAAAGTTTCTTATGCTCACCCAGCCTGCATTTATTTGATCAAAAATACAGTAAAAAAGAGTAATATTGTGAAAAATTATTGCAATTTAAAGCAACTGTTTTCTATTGTATAATATATAGTAAAATGTAATTTATTCCTTTGATCAGAGCTGAATTTTCAGCATCATTACTCCAGTCTTCAGTGTCACACGATCCTTCAGAAATCATTCTGATATGCTTATTACTTGCTCAAGAAACATTTTTGCTATTATCAATGTTGAAAACAGTTAACTTAATGCTTAATGTTTTGTGGAAACCTTTTTTTTCAGCATTTTCTGATGAATAGAATGTTCGAAAGAACAGCTTTTTAAAATCAATTTTATGTGTCCTTGCTAAAGTAGCAAGTACCCTTCAAGGATCAGATAAAGTCAGAATGCATTGCGATCAGCTCAGTGAATTTTCATCCAAAGTAGCATACGAAAAATAGCTAAATTAAAATGATTTTCTGTCTGTCCGTTTTCCTGTCTACACCCAACTGTCCTATAGAAATAAAGGCAAGAAACACCAAAAATATGTATGTTAGTGCATTGTTGCTTTGTTAGCTTGAAATAAAGTTCCCCCTGTGAGTCAAAGGAAAAGTGTTCATTGTAAATAAATTGACAGAGTTTCTCCCTATGTGGAACGTCCCAAATCAGAGTCCTTTCGTTTCCATTTCTGGGTTTCCATTTTTAGCTAATATGCTCCCTTAGAAGGCAACTGTGTAGACAGTAAAGTAGCTCACTAGGTTTTGGTATTATTACTTAGGGTATATTACTTAGTAACGCGTTACTGTAATTTGTAACATAACATACATAACTCCTATTTATGTAATGAACACACACTCTTTTTTTCAACAAAATAGTTGACTTTTGCATACCTTACCTTAAAAATATAAAAATATGTATTCAAATGGCATGCTAGTTTTCTTGTTGAAAGTCCTACAAAATCCTGTAGTTGCGTGATTATTTAATTGTCTCATTATTTGTCTTTTTTTCTGGTGTTTTCAGCTGGTAACAAGAACAAAGAAGATCTTTGTTGGAGGATTGTCTGTCAACACCACCATCGAAGATGTGAAACAGTATTTCGATCAGTTTGGAAAGGTGAGTTCAAGGGCCGTATTCTACACCAGTGTGTCATTTCTTTCATCATTTCTTTTAGTTTTCATTACCACACTGAGAAGGCAACTCAGAAATTGCTAGTAAATTTCACAAACAATTTTCACAATTGTGAAGCACTTTGGGCAACTTAGTTATATAAATAAATAAAGTTGAAGTTGAAGTTGAATTCACATGCAAGTAACACATTGAAATTTTAAAGTAAAAAAAATTTATTTTCTCGTAAAATGTGCCTCTCTCTGATCCTTAGATTTAAAAAAGTCAGTTTTTGCTACTGTACCTTTTAAACTTACATATGACAGTCATGACTTTGGTGAAAAGGCCAGGTCCAGTCTAGTTTCTGAATACCGAATAGGTCTTATTTAAATATGGGCGGTCATATGTTAATGAGCTGTGTTAAAGAGTTGTGACATCAGTGGCATCTTAGTTTATATAAATGTTCTACATAATACAACTTTTAAAAGAACCAGAAAAATACTGTTTGTCCCCCGTAGTGTCACCCAACAATGTGCTCTTGATGTTGGTGTGTTATTTGGCATTTTCAATTACGAAAAGGTCACGTAAATTTGTCTGTGTGTTTTGATGCACACGTGATATCTCTTTTATTCTCCGTCGGTCTCCACTTGTTCCATTTGTTACTGTCATATTCGGTGTCGGCGGTAAAGAATTGGTGTCCCAGTTGGAGATGGAGTCCTTGTTTAGCTGCTTTTTCTTTCATGAGAGAGCGGCTTGCTGAGTTGAATAGTAGACAACAGGGACTAAAGAAAGAGAAGAGCGTATGAGATGAGTGAGGGAGGCCGTGTCACCTCCTGTGGGTTGAGGGCACGAGAGAAGGGGACGGCCTTGAAAAAGAGGAGAAAGATTAAGACGCGCAGTACAAAGGGAAGTTTTAGATGTGGCCGTCCTATTAATTTGTTCTAAACTAACCAGAACTATTAGAACAACAAGTAAAAAGGACCATAAATAGACACAAAACCACTGGTCGGGACCGTTTCCTGTAAAATGAAAAAAAAAGCACAAATTAAAGCTTTAAGCATAAATCATAAAGTTTTCTTTCAGTTTTTCTTGTATCTCTCTCACATGACTTGCAGTGGTCAGATGATTCCACGCTGGCCTGAAACGTGGTGTGAATTTTATATAATTCCTCTGGAAATATTTCAGAGGATTTGTCTGTTGGACCTTTCATTTCCTGCCAGATTCTGCCAGACTTTCCTTTTTTTGTGTACAACATTTTGTTGAAATATCAGCTGCATTAAGTGATGTTTTATGGCATTAATCAATAAAGAAATTAAATTGAATATAAAGCAAATATAGTAACTTACATTTTCATGGTAAGGATTGCTTAAAGAAAACATTGACTGAGATTAAACCAATCTGCTAGATCAGTCATTTTCTACAGGTTAAGGTCCTGACTAACTGCTTATTTTTTCCTATAATGATTACATTATGCATGTTAGAAGTGCTAACATCAGTAAATCTTTGGGAAACACTGACTGGCCTGTTTGTGAAATAGCTGTGAGTGCATTTTGAGAATATTTATAAAATACTATCTTTGTCTCTCAGATTCCATAAGTACATTTCTGCTCAGTCATTATTCCCTCTCAGGATTCAAAGAAGCTTTATTCACATGCTAAACAAATCTCTCTCTCTCGTTCTCTCTCAGATTGACCCTAAGGTGGCCTTCCCACGTAGAGCTCAGCCGAAGGTGAGTGCATCAGTCATTTTCTACAGATTAAGGTCCTGACTAACTGCTTATTTTTTCCTATAATGATTACATTATGCATGTTAGAAATGCTAACATCAGTAAATCTTTGGGAAACACTGACTGGCCTGTTTGTGAAATTTTGAGAATATTTATAAAATACTATCTTTGTCTCTCAGATTCCATAAATACATTTCTGCTCAGTCATTATTCCCTCTCAGGATTCAAAGAAGCTTTATTCACATGCTAAACAAATCTCTCTCTCTCGTTCTCTCTCAGATTGACCCTAAGGTGGCCTTCCCACGTAGAGCTCAGCCGAAGGTGAGTGCTAAGTCTCCGTTCAGGTTAACATCACGCAGGTTCTTTTCTGAAACCTAGTGAGCGTTTTAAAGCATCATCTGTGTTTTCTCGATGTGACAGCAGAATTCCGAAGATCCTTCTTTGTGACTATATTGCATAGAAGTCGCTTGAAAACCTTTAGAACAATAAGTAAAAACAATAAGTTGCACTGCTCACAAACATTACCTCTAAAATGTTTATAATAGGGCTTTCGGTCGATTAAACATTTTAATCTAATTAATTACAGGGTGATGCGAAAAGCGAAAATACCCCCCCAAAATCCTTTAAAGCTATTATTGTGTTAAATGTTTAGGCTACAACGGCCTAATATGGAACATAAAAGAAGATAATGTCACAAACATTACCTCTAAAAATGTTTATAATTGGGCTGTCAGTCGATTAAAATTTGTAATCGAATTAATTACAGGGTGATGCGAAAAGCGAAAATACCCCCCAAAAATCATTTAAAGCTATTATTGTGTTAAATGTTTAAATGTCTAACATAAAGTATGGAACATAAAAGAAGATAATTTGAGAAACATCGTAGTATTTTTTGTTCATCGCTAAACACCGCTGTGTTGCTCGGAGACGCGCAACAGTTCTGCTGTGGCTTTATAGGTAATATTTTCATCGTCAAAATTGAACAAAACACACAATATTGTGTTTAGAATATAACACAATATTAACTTCTTATTTACTGAACTGTTGTATCAAATCACATCTGCACTCGTGCAAATCAGGACAAAAGCGGCAAAACGCTTATCATATAAATATGAGACAAAAAGAAGTGAGAGATATGAGACATACAGGGGCATCCCCCCCCTAAAAGTTTGTGGTCGGTAAGATTTTTAAATGTTTTTCAAAAAAGTTTCTTATGCTCACCCAGCCTGCATTTATTTGATCAAAAATACAGTAAAAAAGAGTAATATTGTGAAAAATTATTGCAATTTAAAGCAACTGTTTTCTATTGTATAATATATAGTAAAATGTAATTTATTCCTTTGATCAGAGCTGAATTTTCAGCATCATTACTCCAGTCTTCAGTGTCACACGATCCTTCAGAAATCATTCTGATATGCTTATTACTTGCTCAAGAAACATTTTTGCTATTATCAATGTTGAAAACAGTTAACTTAATGCTTAATGTTTTGTGGAAACCTTTTTTTTCAGCATTTTCTGATGAATAGAATGTTCGAAAGAACAGATTTTTAAAATCAATTTTATGTGTCCTTGCTAAAGTAGCAAGTACCCTTCAAGGATCAGATAAAGTCAGAATGCATTGCGATCAGCTCAGTGAATTTTCATCCAAAGTAGCATACGAAAAATAGCTAAATTAAAATGATTTTCTGTCTGTCCGTTTTCCTGTCTACACCCAACTGTCCTATAGAAATAAAGGCAAGAAACACCAAAAATATGTATGTTAGTGCATTGTTGCTTTGTTAGCTTGAAATAAAGTTCCCCCTGTGAGTCAAAGGAAAAGTGTTCATTGTAAATAAATTGACAGAGTTTCTCCCTATGTGGAACGTCCCAAATCAGAGTCCTTTCGTTTCCATTTCTGGGTTTCCATTTTTAGCTAATATGCTCCCTTAGAAGGCAACTGTGTAGACAGTAAAGTAGCTCACTAGGTTTTGGTATTATTACTTAGGGTATATTACTTAGTAACGCGTTACTGTAATTTGTAACATAACATACATAACTCCTATTTATGTAATGAACACACACTCTTTTTTTCAACAAAATAGTTGACTTTTGCATACCTTACCTTAAAAATATAAAAATATGTATTCAAATGGCATGCTAGTTTTCTTGTTGAAAGTCCTACAAAATCCTGTAGTTGCGTGATTATTTAATTGTCTCATTATTTGTCTTTTTTTCTGGTGTTTTCAGCTGGTAACAAGAACAAAGAAGATCTTTGTTGGAGGACTGTCTGTCAACACCACCATCGAAGATGTGAAACAGTATTTCGATCAGTTTGGAAAGGTGAGTTCAAGGGCCGTATTCTACACCAGTGTGTCATTTCTTTCATCATTTCTTTTAGTTTTCATTACCACACTGAGAAGGCAACTCAGAAATTGCTAGTAAATTTCACAAACAATTTTCACAATTGTGAAGCACTTTGGGCAACTTAGTTATATAAATAAATAAAGTTGAAGTTGAAGTTGAATTCACATGCAAGTAACACATTGAAATTTTAAAGTAAAAAAAATTTATTTTCTCGTAAAATGTGCCTCTCTCTGATCCTTAGATTTAAAAAAGTCAGTTTTTGCTACTGTACCTTTTAAACTTACATATGACAGTCATGACTTTGGTGAAAAGGCCAGGTCCAGTCTAGTTTCTGAATACCGAATAGGTCTTATTTAAATATGGGCGGTCATATGTTAATGAGCTGTGTTAAAGAGTTGTGACATCAGTGGCATCTTAGTTTATATAAATGTTCTACATAATACAACTTTTAAAAGAACCAGAAAAATACTGTTTGTCCCCCGTAGTGTCACCCAACAATGTGCTCTTGATGTTGGTGTGTTATTTGACATTTTCAATTACGAAAAGGTCACGTAAATTTGTCTGTGTGTTTTGATGCACACGTGATATCTCTTTTATTCTCCGTCGGTCTCCACTTGTTCCATTTGTTACTGTCATATTCGGTGTCGGCGGTAAAGAATTGGTGTCCCAGTTGGAGATGGAGTCCTTGTTTAGCTGCTTTTTCTTTCATGAGAGAGCGGCTTGCTGAGTTGAATAGTAGACAACAGGGACTAAAGAAAGAGAAGAGCGTATGAGATGAGTGAGGGAGGCCGTGTCACCTCCTGTGGGTTGAGGGCACGAGAGAAGGGGACGGCCTTGAAAAAGAGGAGAAAGATTAAGACGCGCAGTACAAAGGGAAGTTTTAGATGTGGCCGTCCTATTAATTTGTTCTAAACTAACCAGAACTATTAGAACAACAAGT